GGGTTGGGGTGGGGTTTGGGTTTTATCTGGCTTCTTGTTCCAGTGTTGGTCGCTAATGTATCGAAATAGTCTTGAGCTACCTAAACCGGCTCTCCGTGGGTAGGAAGCCCCGCAGAGCTAGAAGGGGAGGTGGGTGCGGAGCGTAGTCCGTGACCTGGTCTGGGCTGTGCGAGAAGAGTAGAAGTCTCTGGAAAGGGGGAGTTCAAGGCGCAGAACTGGAGGCTCAACAGGTCGGGAAGATGTGGTAATTGAAGAGCGAGGGAGGCCAAAGGTGAAGTACAGACGAGGAGACTCTGCAGCAGCAAGGTCTGAGAATTCTGGGCACCTAAAACGCGTGCTTTGGTTTTTACCACGTGAATATCATTTGGGTGTTGGGTGTCTTCAAAAACAGTATATAAATTCAATCTTTGTTCTCATTTTTGGACAAGGATTGTATCATGTGCTTTTAAAACAAAAAAAGCCCACACATTTGAATGCATAGCGTACTGCTTTCTTCTCTGTACTGATTCTAAGGAGTGAACTTTCACATGCAGTTTTGTGGTTAAGAACTTTCTAGGCTGTAGAAAGAGAAAAGCTGTAGGTGATTGGGTTGTGAAGGGAAGCAGACGTGTATTGATAGTAGTAATGATAAAGGTCAGACTTTATTAGTGTTAATGTAATTAACGCTGCAGCATTTCTGCAGAGCATCATAGAAAACTCTTTCTGGAACTTTATTTAGAGTATGTTTACTTAACATTGTCAGATAGGTATAGCTAACACACAGGTTTTATGAGACATTTTAGCCACTGTGATTTGGGTTGTTGCTAAAATATTGTAAGGAGATAGAGGACCTATAATGATGAGATAATACAGATAAAATACTGGTTAAATACAAGTTGAAATATGTAACTCTATCTAGGTTCACTCTGATGCACTTGAAGTGACTTCAAAAACCTCCTTGCTGTTGATTTGGCCATATTACATGGGCTTATCCAAAATGCTTAACAAGAGTAGGATAAGCTTTGAGTTAAACTTCGTGTTTGTATTAAGTCTTGGTATTTCTAGTTTAAAAAAATATTATGAAGGGAGTACTTGTACAATTCACAGACATCACAAGCTGTGTGTAAGATGTAAACTGCTTCCTGGTATCAACTGCCCTCTGAGGAAGGGAAACCTAATGCAAAACAGTAAGAAAGCTTGCAGCTTCTGTTAGGTTACTCTCATTTGATGTGCTGCAGAACTTCCCCCTAAGTAAATGAATAAATCCTTTACCGAGAATACACTGTGAATTGTACGTAGCCCTGCCTTTTACTTCCTTTTCTGGCCTTTCATTTTTCTGCCTCTAGTAGTGATTGCGGTGGCAGCCTGTTCCTGCTGGAATGAATTCTGTAGCAGGGTAGACTTGAATTGATTTCTAGACACAGTGGTCTGAAAGACTTGGGGCACCTCCAGATCTCCCCATGCCTAATGTAATTTTCCTAGCAGCCCATCTGTTTTATGGACAAAAAGCCTTGCAGTTCTGTTTTTGCCCTCCAAGGACTTCCAGTTCTGCGGGAATGATCTTTGCTGGCAAATGGTACATGGTCTTTTCTCCCTTACTCTATCTGTGCTGTTGTACATTATTTTTAGAAACTGGCATATTTGAAATGCTTATTAAAAACAAGCTTTGTTGCTGTCATCTTTCACACCTAATCTCTTGCCTGGTTTGTGCTCCTTACAACCCCCACAGAAGGCAGCTTTTTCTGTGGGGCTATCGAGTTCTCCAGGAGAGGTTTGGCTAATCCTTTCCCAAGACTTTCCTCAAATCTTACATAGCAGTGGATCCTAGCCACCTCTTCCTTTAAAAAAAAGGGGGGGGGAGGGTGGTGTGGGCAGGCAGCAAACCACTCTCACACAGAGCTCATGCCTCTGTCCTGTTGTAAGCAAGGCTGTTTTATTTTAGGAGGCCTTGTCTACTGTTCATTGAGTTACGATGTTAGAGGCAGGTTCTTCACAATGCTGGAAGTTGTCTAGCTGCAAAACTGCACGTTTAAGGGGAAAAAGTGTTGTCTGCATCATACAAATTGCTGCATATAGAGAAATATAGTTTTATTAAATCCCTCTCAGAGGGGCAGTGAGGTAATGTGCTGGTTGCCGAAATTATAGTGTTTGGACACACAGTTAGTCGTTCAGCTTTGCCAGAGAGTGTAGATCTCCCAAATCTGCATAAAGACAGGTCTTAGACAAGCGCAGATGACAAAACTGCACACGAAACTGTGGCGTTAAGCTGACTCTGCTTCAAATAGCTTAACTTTCTTTATCCTTGGCTACTTACTTTATCTCACAGTACTTTCACTTATCCTGCTACAACTCTTTTTTTGCCTTTGCATGCTGGATTGGACTGTGGTATTGATTCAGGGTTAAAATAACACGGCAGAAGGACTTCGAGCCATCTTAAACCAGCTGCTAGTTCATCATGAGGCTGTGTAAACAGTTACCCTGGCACCACAGAGGAGCCAGGGTGTGGAAGGTGGAGGGATTGTGAGATGTAGAAAGGGTTTCCTCTGCTATTCAGTAGTTCTGACTTTAAGAATCTAGTGGACTACGAAGTAGGGTAGCCAAGCCTTTGCCCAGAAACCATAACTATGTCATTTGAGATGGAAAATGAGTATGTCTTGACCTTTCTGTTCTTGTCTCCTTGCATGTTTTTGTGTGTTGTAATTAATTTCTTTACTTTTGTGCCTTTAAATTGTTCTTCGGGAATTCTTTCCTTGCATGAGGACACATTGTGCTTGTTTTTACTGGTGTGCTTCCACTGTAAGTACCATACTGAGATCCAGTATGTGGAATGCAGGACTTGCTAGCAAGTTTTCCTCTTCCTGTATGTAAGCCATTCAGCTGTCACTTCAGATGCTGCTGGAATAGAAACCACTGATGCTCTTCCAGTTAAAACTGCTGAGGTGTAGTTCATAGTAAGTGACTTACTTTTCATAAGACCCATTTCATCTGACTACTATTCTAAGGAAAAAAAGCGAGTAGTAAACTAGATAGATAGCCAATAGCAATTCAAATGTAGTTATACATTCTGAAATATGCAGTTATTAAGAACTGGTGTGATGAGCCACTCAGATTAGTAACCAAGGAGATGATTAAACTGGTTTTGCAGGCTCTGTTTGACCTGGCAGGGAAGTTACTAAGTAGCAAGTTCTGGAAGCGTGATAGCAAAGGACTTAAACATCCTTTGTGCAGTCCCTTTCACCGTCTGTCCTTCCCCGGGACACGTGTGTTAGAGACAGTGGTGACAACTCTCTGCTGTATGGGTCAAGTGTTTCCAGTTTCATGCAAATAAATAAGATGAGCTTTCCCCGTCATGCCCAGTGAAAGGGTAATTTAACTAAAAATAAATTTCTGAAGCTGCATGACTTCCTCGAAAGCCTTGAAATCCAAAGGTAGCAATTACTTAGCCCTATACTTTAAGAGTGCCACTTGTATGGCAAGAAGCTGATCCTCTCTGTGAATCTCACTCCACTTTGGTTTAGTTTTTACTGTTTACAAAGTAAAGCGTGTAGTGCCGCCGTTCCAGTTTTCAGTGCTGTTTTCAGTGCTCTGCTTAGCTCCTGTACATTCCAGGGGAAAATGCTTCGGCCTTTTCACAATCAGGTGAACAGTGCTTAAATGTAAGCTAGAAATTTTCTAGCATAGAAGTTGGCTGTGGATGGACACACAGACAGAGAACAAGTGACTTGTTAGCCCTGGCAGTCTCAAACTCTCTTCCTTGCTAGTACTTTGGTATTATACTGCAGTAGTTTTCCCTTTGATCCGAGTGGTATGACAATGTTTAAAAGTGTCTGAAGACCTTATTAAAAAAAAAAAAAAAAAGCAGATGAAGTTTTAGTCCTCTCTGACTTGAAACATTGTGGTGAAAATGAGGGTTGCGCTGAAGTAGAATGGAGATGTCAGAAGCTCCTGCCTATTATGAAGGGGTTCCCTTGTTAAAGGCTTTTGGCAGTTGCACGATCAGAAATGCACTAACCTTCAGAAATATTACACAGTTAAACCTGAAGAAGGGAAGTGCAAGCAGAGTCAAAAATGGCCAGTGATGATAATTCCTTGGAAATTGGACACTCCTTCAAGGGAGAAATCTGATCATAATAGAGTAGGTGGCTGTGTGCCTGAAGTTTGGACTACATTTTAGGTGACTAATTGAACATGTGTAGTTGCTAGCAACTTCAAGCTCCACTGAAAAATCGGTTTATGTATGCCTGTTTTGTATGAAACCTGTGTTTCTTCTCTCTCCCCCTCTATCTTCTTTAGGAATAACCTAATTTACTAGGGCATAATCGTGTTTCTGTTATGTCCCTAAGGGTTGTGTGAAGTTGAAATTTTCTCCTGTAGCAGGACATCAATTATAAGCCTTTTAAATATAAAAAATGTGTGCTTCACTTAAATTGCTCTTCTGAGAACATAGTATCTTTTATTTCTTAATATTTAGTTAGTTTGTATATTGTTACAGATTAACAGAATAAGGAGCTAGGTATGACAATTGGCAGTGGCAGCGGATGCTACCGGTCAGTAGTCAAGGTGTATGAATAGTAGCTTATGTTGAATTAAGGACTGATTAAATACGTAGGAGGTGTCCTAAACAGCTTTCTGTAGGGGTATAAACTTGTGAATACTGCTTGCCAATGATTATAAAGAGGCAAGGACATGAAACTGCATTAGCTTCTCTCCATGCTTTTAGCTTTCTTTTTTTTTTTTTTTTTTTTTTTTTGGGGGGTGGGGTGGGGTGGGAGGAGGGGAAAAAAGCTTGCTTGGGAAGAACAGACAATATTTCTACCTTGAAATGAGGTTCAGTGAGGCCTCAAATTCAGACAGAGTGTTAAGCAATAAATGTAGACCTACAGGATAGATACCTGTGGTTGTATCAGGAGCCCAGATGTGCAGAGTGGCATAGCTTCTGCCCCTGCTGTATGAGTCACTGGTAGAATTGTCTGGTTTCAGTAGGATGTTTTGACAGAGGACTTTCTGGAGCAACCTTGCCTGCAATATCAGGCTATGTGGCTTTGCCACTTACATGCTAGCATTTACCGAAGTTTGTTTGCTGCTGACAAATACTTCTGAAGTTGTAGTTGGGGTGGGATTGTGAAGTAGGTAATTATTACATAGGGAGTCAACACTGGCATGGAAGTTGGTGGGGGGTGTGATTTAATTCTTTCACCAAAACTTTTATTGCTGGTCGGCTAATGGTGAGATTACCTAAGGGATTACTTGCATGCTAAATCATTAATATCCATTGCACAGGCTTGGGAGGAGGTATGCAGAAATGCCTTCCTCTTAGCAGAAGAGGAGAGAATTGGCTTATTTTTACTCTTGCTATATTTTTAAGATTAATTTCCTTGTATCACTTTGTAAATTGTGAAGTGGTCATTCTATCTGTATAATACAATTTGAAAGCAGTTCTAAAACTTGGGGTAAAATCTTCCTGAATTTAGCTCTGTTAAAAAAAAATAATCTATTTGGTGCCGCCCTGTTGGTAAAGTAAGATAAAATTCAACCCTTTCCTTGGAAAGATGTCCTTGTGCTATCTCATCGGTAGTTGCTTCAGTCACACAGGGTGCATCCAGAGCTTTAATGGTCACTTTTTCAAATGAGGTTTCAGGCTCTTGTTTTCTGTGCTGGTTTTATGCTGGTGGGCACGAGTTATTCAGAGGACATGGTGTCTGTGCAGGAGAAACTTGAACTTCCAAGGGTACCTATGTTTGCTTGACAGTTTTCATTCCTTGGTTTTGTATTGTGGTTCCCACATTAGTAATAGGAGCTGTGAGCTGCTATGAAGGTCTGTAACTGTTTTCAATTTTGGCTGTACACTGTATATTAAGCAAACAAGCTTCGCTTGTATGTAACAACACTTGAAAGTTTTTGTCAGCTGTTCATGCTGTGAGTGGTGTCCTTTTGGTTCAGAGGTGTTTCAGTGCAGTGGCCTGAACTGTGAGGGGGGGAGGGTTGTGAGCATGCATTTAGACCATAATCCTCAAGGCCATCACTATTGTTAGAAAACTGGCTGCAATTGCATGTTGCTGTAGTGACAAACTGGACATGACCTCAGCACAAGTCTTTAAAATTCAGTTTTGTTGTAGTTGTAAAACATCCCCTCTGTCATTAGAAGTAAGTTGAAGACTAATCTTAGAATGGTAGATCTGGTATGCAACGTAGTTTTGGAGTATTGGATACTGCTGATAAGCCATTAAGACTGTAAATTCTTTTAGTTGCCTAAACACGCTTTGGAAAGTTGAAAGTTTGTTTTCTAGCATGATCTTATGCCCCTACAGGCACTATGAACTCTGCTTGAGTTATGTTTTTAAGTCTACAGGGCTACAGCCTGAGGCAGAAGTGTAAGAGAAGGAGGGGATGTTTGGTTTTGTAATTGTTTTCAAAAAAGTATTAGTCTCAGTTACAACTCTGGTTTTGGAAGAAAAATTTGGAATTTGATTCAAAGGAGAAAAGATAAGCAAGGCACAGGTTGGTTTTGGGTTTTTTTAGCAGCATGCTACGAGTGTTGCCTTCTGTATCAGCCTAAAGGTGTAGTGACCTTGTAGGCTTTCTAGCAAGAGAGTAAAATTGAAACCCATTTTATGTGCAAGATCTTTTGTGCTACAGCTTGCCAAGATCTATCATATTTTAGGTGCGACAATGTGCTGAGCACCTTCTAAATTAGTTGAAGTGTGATATTTTAATTCTGTAAAGCCTCTGTTAACTGATACTCTTTTTCTTTGGTCATCCTGTTAAATTAGAGATTGAAAGAGGGGAATCAAATCAACTTCTGTTAAATAGTAAGAAATTTTCTCCTGGGTCTGCCTCAGTAGCTTCAACTGCTTGTAGACATCTGCCACTGCCAGTAGTATCAGTGGCTGTTGGCAGTAATTCCAGAATAATACCTGGGGAAGGGGACTGATGAATGAAAACACCAGTGTCCCACAGTTGAAAGGACAAAAAAATACCGAACAGGAGATAGAGGATTGATTACTCCATAGATCACACTCTGCTTGAAAGAGCTAGCTAATTGTATTTCAATTCCTGAACTGAGTGGAGATTTCAGCTTCTGTGTGATGCATTTAAAGTCCTTCATAAGCAAGAAATAAGTTTTCTGTTTAGGCTTTTGAGGGTACATAGGTTGTGGTGTTGTGTACGTGTGTCTGCTGTTCTGTTCATAGACTGTGACCGGGTAAGAGCAAAGTTATGACTCTTCTGCAGCATGATCTGCAGAACTTGCATACGTTGTTCTCCGCTCAGTTAATGTCAGTTTTGAACTAAAAACTTTGGCTTTACGTTGTATTCCTCTCCAGCTTTTACAGCCCTCTCAACCAGCCTGATGCAGTAAATAAGAGCTGAAAAGATATGTTTGTGCGTTTCTTTCAGCGGTATGACTAGGCACTTCACCTGTTGTCTTGGATGCTTGGTTTTGTACTGAGAAGCAATGATTTGCTCTGCATGCAGCACTGGCTTGACCTCTTTGCCTTGTCTTATTTATCCAGATCATGGAGCTGAAATGGCTACTGTATGTGACGCTGCTCGCTCTTGGGACTCTTGCTGTCCAGGCACATGATACGGATGATGACAATGATGGCGATGATGTAGTTGATATTGAGGATGACTTGGATGATGGCATTGAGGAGGTAGAAGAGTCAAAACCTGAAACGAGCACTCCTCCTCCAACTCCAAAGGTTTGGCATGGAACTTCTTTTAAAAATTGAATTACCGCTTGTGTTGTGGTTAATGTAAGTCTGATCAGAGTTGTATTTACTCTGCTAACATTTAGTATTTTGTGATGTTATTTAAGATGTTATCTGGAAGTAGGGCTTGGAATTAAGCCTAGCTGCTTCGTTCCTATTCTTGTGTCCCCTGTGTTCTTCCTGAAAACTTAAATCCACCCTTGAAATCTGTGATTATCAGGAATTAATGCTAATGTTTCCAGCTAGATATACACTTTAGTTTTAGTTGCAGACAAGAGCACAATGGCTTGGCACAAGCAGCAATATTTACATAACTTCTGTATTTATGCTGCACGGGTGTTCCAGGTAAGCTGTACTTGGGTGTAGAGGGGGAATGTGGGCTGTATGTGCCTGTATTTCTTTAGAGTAGAGAATGTGCATTGAAAGCTGCATAAATGCCTGTCTTCTCCAATAGGTTACCTACAGGGCCCCAGTCCCAACTGGTGAGGTATATTTTGCCGAGTCCTTTGATAAAGGAACTCTAGATGGGTGAGTATAATCTGAAGGATGATTCAGTACAGCAAATAATGAAAAAAAAAATGTGGTGAAAGGCAATGAAACCCTCACTAGAGCCTGTATAATTCAAAATCGAATCAAGGGGCAGTGGTTGCTGAGGATTACGGCAGTGACTGTATGAGGCTGGCTGTTAAAGTGGTGAGCTAAGCTAGTAGTTCCTTAAGTTCTTGTAACAAGGGAGAGGTGAGCCATAGATGTGTAATGTTTTAATCCTCATCTGGCTTTTCACTTCAGGTAACGTGAGGATAGTGGGGTGGTACTATAATTTTTTTACAAGAGCAAGACACTGAGGCCATGATCTTACTTTGTGGGTGGGGTCGGAAGTGGCAAAAAAAACTTTGTAGGCTTGGGGATAGAACTCCTCAGGGGATCAAGAGGCTGGGTGGGAGGTAGTCGTAGGACAGCAAGGGTTATCTTATCCTAAGGGCAGGATTTTAGTGGCAAAAAAAAAAGTATGGGTTTTTGACCATTGGATGTCTGTCTTCTAGATGGATCCTTTCCAGAGCAAAAAAAGATGATACGGATGATGAGATTGCAAAATACGATGGTAAGACCAGCCCAGGTTTTGATGATAGATGCTTCTGATGTCTTTTGTCATACCTGAAGAAGAGGTGCAAGCCTTTGTTTCCTGTTTCCCAGTTAAAATTATGTTCACTGAAGAAAATGGGAGGAGTGTTTATATATCTGGCTAAGAATATAAGGTGTAGTTCTGATTTAGACAAAGTATCTACTTGGAGGTTTTAAAATAGTTTTTAGTGAAGATGTTATGCTAATAACTTGATAAAGCACCCTGGAAGATTTTGTTGCAGAATGCCAACCATCTTGTTCAAAACTAGGCTAAACAAAGACTGTCTTGAACAAGTTTTATAAAGTTTGGTTAATTTCTCTCCAGGTAAATGGGAAGTCCAAGACATGAAGGACACTAAGCTTCCAGGAGACAAAGGCCTTGTATTGGTAACCAGAGCCAAGCATCATGCAATTTCATCCAAACTTTCAAAGCCTTTTGTATTTGATACCAAACCCCTTATTATACAGTAAGTAAAGGATAACTTTGCGTTCTGTTATTTCAAGGGTGACACGATAGTGTGCTGAAGTTAATTCCATAACAGAGTTTTTGTTGGCTGGGGGTCTAGATGACACAAGATACTGTAACCTATTATTATACTGTTTAAGTAAAATAACAAGCAGTATTCCCAAAGTGGGAACTTAAGAACAGCATGTGTCCTTCTGAAGCCTGAAATGGGAAGAAGTCTATGAAAACTAGACTTGGTAACCTGTCTCGGGACTTCAATTCACTTGATTTAATTGTAGTAACAAGGTCAGGCAACTGACTCCTGTACTGCTAATTGTGAAAGTCCTTGTCCTTTTGGAGAAAAGCTGGTCTATATGTAGGTCAGTGCCATTTCCTTATGCAGTAAACTGCCCCCTGTTTCCAAGGTGGAGCAGACAGAGTGGTAAAGATGCACTCGTTTCCTCCTTCTTTTGTCTTAGTTCATCTGTCATGGAAGATTAACAGCTTGCCTAGCTCTGTTTGGCTATGATTGATGTAGAAGAATCTACTTGCATGTATATTAGACTAGCAAGAAGGGGGTAAAAAAATCATGAAAACAGATTAATTGTGGATTATTACCTACTTTATCAGTTTTAAACAAAGAGTAAGCTAATTCATATTTGCACAAGATAATGAATTGGTCACTTTCTCTTGCATGACTGTTTAGTTTTGGCTCAAAATACAAAGCTAAAAATAAATCCCAGTGGTCATCCACTCCGGCTGCTGGCATTGAGAGAGGATCAAGCATACTTAGCCTATTCCTGACAGAGATGTTTTGCCTTTTTTAGACTCCTTGGCATCTCTAAATACACTGTTGTATGCTTATAACTCTAAAGGGGCATCTCCTAGGATCCAATTGTTGTTGTTTTGGTAGTCTTGCAGATTGAGTTGTCTGCCATAGTAGTTGTGGGGAAAATAATTGGCTTGCCTTAATCTCTGTTGGAGTGTCTTACATACTGGTAAGCTTTTTCTTCCTTCTCTCTACTTCTAGATCATAATTTTCTGGACCGGCACTCAATTTAATCTTTTTTGTCAGGTTAAGTCGTCTACATCCTCAATTTTTCATGTTTCTCAGGCCCTTATGAATATTTGCTTAGTCCTTAGAGTGTATTTTTAATAATCACTGAACATGTGATTTAAAGGAAACAATAACAAAACAGTCTTACTCTTAATTTGTACTTGAAAATTGTAATTATGTATTACGGAAGTAATTTTTCCTCATGTATAGCATGTTCTCCCCTTCTCTGTCCAAAACTAAAATTAGGTATGAAGTAAACTTCCAAAATGGAATAGAGTGTGGCGGGGCCTACGTGAAACTGCTTTCCAAAACCCCTGAATTGAATCTGGTGAGTAATGCTGCTACTTTTGAGTATTAGTTGTGAAATAAAACTTTTTTCATTTTGCTTCTTCCTGAAGAAACCTCTTCAATAAAGGCAGTGGGTCATATTTAGAGCCTCATCTCCAGAGTACTTTGCACTTAGCAGTTTCTGGGTGTTTGAGTGAAAACTCTGGAGCTTCCTAGCAGCTGAACAGTTCTAGACCTTTGCTAAAGACTGCAATACTTCACATTTCCCTAGGTTCTAGGACCAAAGAGGAGGTATCTTACAAGAGTTGCCAGTGTATGAGGAGAAACTTCCTCAGGAGCTGTTGCCCGGAAGGAAGATACCATGTTTCATCTTTAAAACAGACTAATGGAAATAACTAAAAATATATCTTGCATTTATTGCCTTGTCTTTGACATGTGAACCTGCTTGTGCATTACTGGGTATATTAAAAAAAAAAAGTCTTGAGAGGTTGGCCTGGATACAACCTTATATGCTCAGCTGCACACACTAGCTACACAGAACCATTTGCTTCATAAATGACCCTTGAATGCATTGTCTTAGAAATGTGGTCAATGGAAGAGGCCATGCTACAACTTCTAAGGATTAAGAATAATTTTCTCTCCTCACTGACATACCTATGTAAAGTGATTGAGTCTATTCAGACAAAGTTTAACTGCTGGGTCACCTTGCGTAGGCTTGTGTGGCCTATGGGTTTTCTTTAGCCATCTTCCTAGACTTCATAGGAATGTTATGACTTCTTACCCATCCTTCTCCTTTCCTTCTGCGGTCTCATTGGAGTTGTATTATTAATACAGATTCCAAGTTACTTAAAAAGAAGACACCCAAAAGACAACTTGACTATCTAACCAGTTTCATATGTGTATTGAATTTTAAGATAACATTAGCAGGAACAAATAGACTTTCTTGGCAGTGTTCAAAGGTGAGATTGTTATATCCAGTTAGCTCTCAGGTTGAGACAGTACACCAGTTTATAAGTGTGTAAACGAAATACAGCTTGGCCTCACTTTTAATGCTGCTTATCACTTTGTGTGAAGGAAACTCACTGGACTAGCTAGTCATTCAGTATTACCAGTAACTGATAATTTTATACTGATAGCGTTTAAAATCCTTTATTATAATGTGGAGATATACTTAAACATTGTGGTTGTCACTTAAGCTTACCTTTTGATAACGCTTGAATAGCTGTTGGTTTTCATCTGGAAAGTGGAGACCGAAGGTGCAAACTCAAGTAGCTGGGATAATTGTGGTGTTCTCTAGAGGCTTGTGTTCATCATTCAGGCTTTAGTGTAGGTACTTCACTGGCTTGATATCCAAGTTGCAGAATAATTTCTAATGAATTGGGAGTTCTTATGCCAGGCAGTGACTTAAGTTGTATTTCAAAATAATGGAATGAAGTTTTGTATTGTTTTTAAAGGATCAGTTCCATGACAAAACTCCATACACAATCATGTTTGGCCCTGACAAATGTGGAGAGGACTATAAATTGCACTTCATCTTCCGACACAAAAACCCAAAGACTGGCAAATATGAGGAGAAGCATGCAAAGCGTCCAGATGCAGACCTGAAGACTTACTTTACTGATAAGAAGACCCATCTTTATACTCTGGGTACGGTGACTGTTAACTATGCATGTTAATAAATACTGCTATGTTTCCTGAGTCAAAAGCTCATAAAATGAGCCAAAGGAACAACTAAATATTTGTGTCGACAGATAGGTACAACTAAACACTACTTCAAAGCTCTGAATGCAAAAACTGATCTTATTGTACAAAGGCTTATTTCTTCCTTGCAAGAAGTCTTGATTCATGTAAGAAAAGTCATGAGACCTTGAACTTAATAGTTAAAGGAGAACTGAATTTCAGAGCAGTCCTGTGTAACTTGATATGCTAAGTATACTAGGCTTTAGATTTAGAGGTATAGTCTTTTTTTTTTTTTTTTCTTTCTTTCTTTCTTGCTGCTTTCATAGTACCAGAAAAACTCTGTGGTTCTTGAAGTACAGTGTCTGGTGTGGTATATTAGCTATGACTAAAAATCTTTCAAGGAGTACTCAGGAGGCTCTCTCTAGCTCTTCCTACTACAGAGGCAGCAATGGGTAAAGGAGTGAGATTAAAATCCTGTGAGTCAATAGTAGGGATTCTTATTCTTGAATAGAATGTGAATACATATATTCTTACTACTAAAGCAATACTTATTATGCCGAAGTCAACTTGCTGTGGTAACTGGTAAATCACTGTACAAGCTTCTTTGTGCTTTTAACATATTTAAAGTAGGACTCCTGCAATGTGTCTTCTTTCTCACAAGGTGATGTGTGGTATGGCATTACTAGTTACCCTTTGGCATAAGACAAAAGATTCTTAACAGTTCTTTAAAACAGTTGCTGGGTAAGTGGTATCTTGGATTGCTGAAGTTGTAGTTGTACAGGGGGGATGATCATGCACTCTTTGTATCGTATATGTAATGGCTACATCAACTTTTTTCCTTACAGTCTTGAATCCTGATAATAGTTTTGAAATACTGGTTGATCAAACAGTTGTCAACAGTGGGAATTTGCTAAATGATATGTCTCCTCCTGTGAATCCACCCCGGGAGATTGAGGACCCGAATGACCAGAAGCCTGAGGACTGGGATGAGAGACCAAAAATCCCAGACCCAGATGCTGTTAAACCAGATGACTGGTAAGCTGTTGGAGGGGTGGAATTGAGGAAGGCCTTGGCCTGATAATTTGGTTCTGATCAAAAAGTCTTTCTCAGATGACTTAAAGGTTTTGAATCTCACCCTTGTAATCAAAACACAATCAGTTTAGGCATCTGAGCAGCAGTTTTGGTAGACAAAGGCAGACAGGATCTATGTCCTCTGGGAATTACTGTTTAGTATTACTGTACTGGCCACAGATGAAGGCTTTACTGAAACAGCTATGCTAGCTGATGCTTTCATCCTTGATGAGATCAAAGATGAGCTGCAGAAGGTATAATTGTAAGAAGTTTCTAGTTGTTTGTGTAATGCATAGTTGCAGGTGACTGAAATATCTGACATCCTAAATTGGAAACTGATACTGGGTTTCTGTCTTTGAACCTATGCTTTGTGAACAGTGGACTCAATTTCAAGCTCAAGTGTGTGTTTGTAGTGACCAATAAGATACAGGATTTGCTGTAATATGCCCTTTCCAAGTTGGTTTTAAAAAATAAGTAGTATTACCTTACAGTTGGTGCTATGACTGTGCCATGAGGCATATGTATAAGTAACAGATTGCAAGGCAATTTGGTTCTGAAATCATGGTGTTATGCTTACCCGATTAGAAGTGAAGCTAGCTGATTGTCTAAATCAGTGAGCTTGTTCAGAGTCTGTAGAATAGTGCCTTGGGATTAAGAACTTTTATATGTTGTGTGTGTTAATACATAATATTCTGTTTTCGAGGGATGAGGATGCCCCTGCAAAGATTGCAGACGAAAATGCTGTGAAACCAGAGGGCTGGCTGGATGATGAGCCAGAATATGTAGCGGACCCTGATGCTGAGAAGCCTGAAGATTGGTACGTTTACTGCCTGTTGCAAATCACAGCAAATATTTCATGGCTTTGATACTGGCTTTTACGAGTAAAGAATAGCTAGTTCGTTGTTGCTTGCTAACAAAGTTGTCGATTCAGGCTGTCTTGCTTCAAAAGTAGAAGGCAGAGTTGGTCTGAGGAGTCTTGTGTTCTTCCGTTCACCTGCGCACTTTTCAACTCTTCTGTTCTGTGATTGTAAGCTGAACAGGGCAGGGAAGGTCATCTTGCAGTTGTACCATACTTGGAAGGGGCGGCGGGGGAGGCTGTGCTCAGGGACTGGCTTTTGTTGAGCTTCTGTGCTTCCAAGCTGCTACTTGAATTCCTCATTCCTTCTGTGACGTCTTTACCTACAGACCAATGCTATTCAAAGTTTCAGTATCTCCGTTTTTATGGTAGGAATTTTAAAATTCCCAGAAATCAGACATTGTCTAAGTCTTATTCTGTATAAAGACAAGGGGTGGACTTCAAAACCAAATTTCGCTTTTCAGGGATGAGGATATGGATGGTGAATGGGAGGCACCTCAGATTGCAAATCCTAAATGTGAGACAGCCCCTGGCTGTGGTACCTGGCAGCGACCGATGATTGATAATCCAAACTACAAAGGCAAATGGAAGCCTCCTATGATTGATAATGTGAACTATCAGGTTAGTGTTTTCATTGCTTGAACTCCCGGCCTATGCAGCATTTCTCTTAGAAAAAGCAGAATGATTTAGATTCAGCAGGTGTAATTAAGAATACAAATATTGTCATGGTTAGACTGTGCTCCAAGTGGACACATTCAAAGTACTTTCTTACTTGGCTTCACTTCTTTGTAGCACAAAGGAAAATTAATTTGCAAAACTTGATGAGTTGCACCCATAGACATTGTAATTAAGTGCAGTGGGTTGGTCTTTTTCTCGGTTCAAAATGGGCTGAAAACTAAAAATTGTATTACAGCAGGCAGGGCTTGAATGTCTTTTGTCCTTCCTAGGGTATATGGAAACCTAGGAAGATCCCAAACCCAGATTTCTTTGAAGACTTGGAACCTTTCAAGATGACTCCCTTCAGTGCTGTGGGACTTGAGCTATGGTCAATGACTTCTGACATCTTTTTTGACAACTTCATCATCTGTACTGAAAGAGCTGTGGCTGATGATTGGGCCAGTGATGGGTGGGGACTGAAAAAGGCAGCTGATGGTGCTGCAGAGGTGAGAAATAAAGGTTTAGTTGTGTGCTTCTGACTAGAACAGTAGGAGCATTGCTGCTGTTCTCTCCCACAGTATTTATCTATATGTACCAAGGCTAGGGATTATGATAAACCAGATTGGGACCTCAATTCCAAATTAAAATATGGTAGTGGTTGCTGTAAGTAGCAATGAGAACTCACTGCTGTTTTGTGAGTTTTTTGCTCTGACAACTGGACTGTTAACTTTAGCCTATTTCTTAATTTTCTATGAAAAAAGTACTTGTACAGGTTAGCTTTAATTTTTTTTTGAGGTATGAAATAAAATGTTCCAAGTTGCAAAAAGCCTATTTGAAAATTGTGTAGCTTAGACTTCACTGCTATAACTTGCTGTACGGGATAAAATTTCACAGTTCCTTTTATCTTGCAGCCTGGTGTTGTGGGCCAGATGATGGCAGGTGGTGGATCCCTGGCTTTGGGTAGTCTACATCCTCACTGTGGCTTTGCCAGTGTTCCTTGTTGTCCTTTTCTGCTGTTCTGGGAAGGTATGCATTTCCTCCAGTAATACATAATATAATGTTTAAAAAGAGATCCAGCAAAATGTTCCTTAAAGTCACAAATAATTGTCTGGGTTGGACAATTTTTTAGAAACAGCCAAGCGCTGCAGAATACAAAAAGAGTGATGCTCCTCAGCCTGATGTGATGGATGAGGAGAAAGAGGAAGAAAAAGACAAAGGGGGCAAGGAAGATGAGGAGGAGGAGGAGGAGGAAGCAAATGAGGAAAAGCTAGGTAGGTAAACTAGATAATCTTGAATCAGTTTGAGTTTTCTCTCTGATAGAATAAAACAGAAAGATTGGCAGACATTGGAATAAAGACAATGGTGAACTGAAGGTAAGTCTTAATGAAAAGAGAATGAGGGTTTTTTTTTTTATTTCCCTTAGAAGAGAAGCAGAAAAGTGGTGCTGATATAGGAAGTGCTAGTCAAGAGGAGGAGGAAGAGGAGGAGGAAGAGGACAGGAAACCTGCATCAGAGGTAAGAGTGCTTAATATTTGAGGAAAGTCTTGGGCATTTTTTTTTTTCTCCTTAAGTCATGTATAAGAAGCCTTACTAAAGTGTTTGAAGTAAACCTGGCTCATGTGATGCTTCCAAGTGTCAGAACTTCGGAAAACTTAATCACCCTGCAGAATAGTAATTGCTATGGCTGACTTAGCAGAGCTGGGCGCCTTGCTAAAGGCACTACCATAGACCCTGCTTTGTGAGAGGAGTGGGATTGTGTGGAATGCATCTTCTTGAGGCAAAAGGCTTATTCAGCTTAGTATGCGGTCAGGATGTGACCTCTTAAGTGCTCTACATAATGACATGTAGCTGACATAATGGCTGACGTAGTGTTGCTTGAAGTTAAAAGGATTCTCGCAGCAGCAAAGCTGTTGAATACTCTCAGCAAATAGTGTACATCCACTGTGAAAATAAGAGGATTTGTGTGTTTGCCATGTATAGAAAAGAAGGATAGTAAGAGCAGTAAGTCCTTTTCAAAAATTAAATCCAAATGTAGAAAGGAGATTATTCTTTGTAGGTTTGCTCAAAATGTTTTTAAGATTATTTTTAGTTTTTTTTCCTTGATGTTTGCACAAATTTTCTTGCAGGAGGAGGAAACTGTGAATAGATCGCCCAGAAACAGAAAGCCAAGGAAAGATTGAAAAAAGTCGTAAGAACTTGATCTGTGATTTTTTTCTTTTTTTTTTTTTTTTTTTTCTTCCCCCCTGCCCTCCCTCCCCCCATGGTTCTGGGAGAGGACCTTGGACACCTTACATTGAAACTTGGACAAACATCAAGACTTCACCATCCACAGGTTCCAGTCACACTATCCAATGTAATGGAGTGTCTAGCAGTAAAATACTTGCAATCATCTGTTTTCAAGAACATCATTCCTGTAGAAAGAATGTGTTTAGTATAATGGGCTGTGGATTTTGGAATATAACATAACTAACCTTTTTCATTTTTGGTTTTAAATATTCTTTTCTAAGTAGATTGATAGAACTTTTCTGGTCTCAAACCTTGGCTTAATTTAATATATTAATTAGTCAAAAATAACAATGAATCTTGAAAGTACTAGGTGATAAAAATGTAGTTTTATAACTAGTTTTTTTTTTTACAAATATGTAAATTCTTAAATGCACCAATGTCTTTATATCCCTTTATATCCCTTAAAATTTGATAATTGTTTAAAGAAAAGTTGTTGATGTATTTGACAACCCCTCTGCCCTCAAAAGAAAACTGGGAGGGGATGTATGGGGAAATTAGTAGTGAAACTCTCTAATCAGTCAACTTCATTCTCTTGGGGGGAGGGGAAAGAGGAAGAAGGGGTGGAAGCAAGGGGTTAGTCAGTCTGCAGAATATGCATACCATGCATGACTAAAGCCCTGTTAAGTGTGGACAACTGATCTAGGATTGGAGTGGGTCGTCTTAATGTGGCATTTAATCCTGCAGACCTTGCAGATAATGGATTTTGTTAGTTCTTGAACTCTTTTTGTAAAGCTAATGGGTTATTGGGGGGGCGGTTAGACTACTTCCCCCTTTCCCCTCTCTTCAGCTACTGATGGTTTCCTTTCTCTGTGACTATACAGTTTTTTCCTGAGTGTGGCTTTGCCTCAGTTGCTGAAGCACTTCATGTTCAGCTCATCATTGAACTCTATTTTTTTTTTTTTTTTTTTATAGCTAGGCCTACTCCTTTCCAGGGTCCAAACGCTGGATAGGACAGTGTCCCATATCCTCCCACTGTTACCAGTGTATGTCTACTCCTGTAGAAATGGGGGAGGTAGTCAGGTAGACAAGGTGCACCTGAGTATTTGTTAAGGAGGGGAAAAAAAAAAAAAAAACCACAAATGAAACCAACCTGAAACCAACCCAAAACCAACAACCAACCGAGATGTCAGTATTGTAGGTGGGGAAGGAGCATGTGGAGTATCTTAACTGGTATGTGAAACTGTTTAAGTCTTTTATCTGCTCTTCATGTAACAAATGCATCCTAAATTATGTTGTGAATGTTAGGGAGTTCCAATTCCAGCTGAATAAAGTTTTTTAAAGCGTTGAGTCTACAATATTATGCTGTTTCAAACACTTTTTTTTTTTTTGTGGAATGCAGGTGATCACTACAAGAGCATACCTCTAAGGGTGAAATCTGTGTAACTTCATTACACTGTACCAAATATGTTGGCGTTTGGATGTCTATATAGATAAACTTTTGCCTTTGTTTAGAGTGAAATTAAATGTCCTGAAATTACTCTTCTTGCACTGAATTTAAACACTCCAGTGTTGTTTGGTCATAGCATAGGTATAGTGTGGGGAACAGTTCCCAGGGGCTGGGGAGGGAAGAGTGTTCCAATTACCTTGCAAACAATCTAACCGATTACTAAAAGACTCTTGGTTTTTTGGGTTTTCTGTAAAACACCTTTTGCTGCCTGTCCTTACGTTGTATCCCTTGGTTGTTGTGTTTGAAATACTAGTGGTCACAAATGCATAGCAGGATTTCTTGATCTTTCTGCAGTGTGCAAATAAACTATTGTAACCAAGATACTGGAAGTAATTTTGGACTTCTGTTGGGAGCTATTGCATGTTTAGAATGCCTTTGCCTGTTGAACACCTGGTAAATACTGCTCCTTACTGCAAAAATAGCTTATACTCTGACATGGAAGATGTCATAGCTTAAGCATTGCTACTAGCTTGTGCTCAGGACTGTATTTTTATCAAGGAGCAGCTGCTATTTATGACTCTCAGTCCTTTGAGATGAGTATATGTAAGTGGTTTCAATTCGGCTAACATTTTGAGCACAACATAAAAATCTATTAATCTGATGGGTTTCTATCTTAATATGCAAATTGCCTTAAATTCCTGAACAATTTATGTGCATACCTGTTCTTTCAAAGCATCAAAAGTGAACTTAAGATCTGCTATCAGCTTTTAAATAGTATTATATTAAAGCTAATTGTAAATCTACACTTGCTTCTGCTAAATCTCCTGAAAGGTCTCCTGTCTGCATGTTATGACTTTTTTTTATACCATAGTGTATGCTTCTTAAATAATCACTACAATAAATGAAGACTTTCCAAAATGGATAGACAACTCCAAAGTTACTTTTTATCCAGCTTTCTGACTTGGGTGGCTCAGTTTAAACCTCCAGAATCACTCGTATTTTTAAAGCCTTTGAGGAAAAATTAGGCATGTGCTTATCCTAAGTACTTTTGAAGCATAGCTGTGGTTTTGAGCTACTGAAGGTCTCCCTGGTTGTAATCTGTGAACTAGGTTCAGAACCCTTATAAATACTTGAAGGTGTCTTTGAGCCTTTTATGTGCATCTGAGAGCGGCAGCTTCTGAAAAGGGGGTTCTGCTTAGCTGAATGCTGTGTCTGAAGATGGGGGGGGGGGGGGGGGGATGGTAAATCAAAACAAAAACCCTAGGGGAGTAGGTCCAGACAGGGTCTGAAACACAAGGCAGTAGAAATGCTGAAAATAGTTTTTCTCCTGGAGTCAGTGCTCAGTACTGGAAGTTGATGAAAGCTGCAGCTAACCAACTGCCCTGTCCCAAAAGTGTCATTGGATGTGACCTACCTAGCCTTTCTGGGGCTGGGTAATAGTGAATTGTTACAGCTGGAGGCTGTGACCTATCGAATGCAGTGCAAATGTCTGTTTTTAAGGTTGACTCCTGGGCCTGAGGAAGGGTTTCTTGCAAGTGCTGATTGCTAGCAGAGGTACCTATCAGTGGTTGTCTCTCGCTCTTCCCTTACTCCTACCTCAAAAGCAGTGCTCTGCTTAAGCTGTGTTGATGGAGGTGGGGCTTGCGCCTGCGCTCTCCATCTCCCACTGTTCCCCAGTTAGTACCAGTACTACCTCATGGTTGCAAAGAGGCGGTTGTTTTCTGGCGAGGTTTTTTTGGTTGGTTGGTTTTTTTTTAGTGTTGCTGAGGAAGGGCTCTGATCTCATTTGCAGACACAACCTGTCCATTTCACAAAGGTACCTGTAGATGCAACTTGAGAAGAAAAAAAAACCCCACAAACTAATCAATTAAGAAGCTTAAGCCTGGCTTTCTCTGTCTAATGAGCAAAACTGCCTAAGTCTTCATTGCTTCTGGTTGACGTGGAGTGAAGGGAGCGGGTCTGGACTAGGAACCAGCTTCAGCAAGCGATGATATCCTGTCGCCGCGAGGTGATCTGTTTTTTCCTCAAACGGTTTTTTCCTCTTCCTCTGTTGACCCAGAAGAGGTGCGGCAGCGCACTCGAGCTCTGCCGGGGCGCGTCTTCACGGCGCTGGGGGCGGCG